GATCATGACCTGAGCCGAAGGCAGTCGCTTAACCAACTGAGCCACCCAGGCGCCCTAAAGTTGATTTTTTATAAACATATTAGTCAATAATAATATATCAACAGGGACAATTTAGGGGCGCCTGGGTGGCTCAGTCGGTGAAGCGTCTGACTCTGATTTCGGCTCAGGTCATGATCTCATGGGTCGTGAGATTGAGCTCTGTGCTCAGCGGGGAGTCTGCTTGAGGTTCTTTCTCTCCCTCTCCCTCTGCCCCTTCCCCCAGTTGTCGGCTCTCTTTCTCAAATAAATAAATCTTTACTATTTTTTTATAATTATTTTTTTAAAGATTTTATTTATTTGACAAAGAGAGACACAGCGAGAGAGGGAACACAAGCAGGGGGAGTGGGAGGGAGAAGCAGGCTTCCCGCTGAGCAGGGACCCCGATGTGGGGCTTGATCCCAGGACCCTGGGATCATGACCTGAGCCGAAGGCAGACGCTTAACGACTGAGCCATCCAGGCGCCCTTCAAATAAATAAATCTTAAAAAAAAAAAAAAAAAAAAGGGACAATCTAACACCACACAATCGGAGGTCAAAAGGGATCTGTCACTGCCCTAGAAAGTGATAAACCTGAGTGAACACAGATTTGGAAATTGGTACTATTTGGGGTAGAATTTTTCCAGAAGGAGATTACTTTCACAAGGTCAATTAAGCATAAAAAAGACCAGAAATTTTGGTGTCTTGGAACTACAACCAACTGATAATAAGATGGCTACTTTCTTTTTTTTTTCCCCCAAGTAAGCTCTACCACCCGAAGTGGGGCTCAAACTCACTACCCCCAGATCAAGAGTCACATGTTCCATGACTGAGCCAGTCAGATGCCCCAAGATGGTCACTTTATCTATTCTTTTTTTTCCCCTGTAACAAAAACCCTCCTAGGAACTGGAAATAAAAACTAAATAAATTGGGCAGGTACAAAGTAGCTGCTTACCTAGCCTTGTAGCTCCCACTCCTGACCACTTGTAATTCACTCATGGCCCCAGGCTCCAGCTGCCTGGTGTCCCCTCATTACAAGCTGAATTCTTTACCTCCTGGACCCTAGTCCATCCTAGATTTTGGAAGGAGAGCAAAAGTAGTATATACAAGTGTGTTAAAGGTGTGTACCAAGGGCTAGGGGTGTGTGGGTCGTACTGGGAGTGGGCCAGCTGGGGAGTACTTTATCCCTGACACTGTGTGGAATGGCCAGTTTTAGCACTGTTCTGAAGTTCTCCACAGAGCACACTCCACCATCGCCTGCACAGGGCACACTCCCGCTGCCTGCCCCTACACCACCCACCCACCTTGAGGAAGCCAGGTGAGACAGGCTGGGGCCTAGTTCAAACCTCTGTCCCGATGATAAAAGTGACACGTGGACACACACAACTCACACATATCAGAGCCTTGCTATTTTAAGAATGTACTTTATACAAAATAACCAGTTCATATGGAAATAAATCTACAGACCTCTGAGGATCAAAAAGCTTTTTAAAAAGTTCTTTTAAAAAATTATCCAACACACAATATCGAACTAACTATTGAGGTAAGTGTCGCTCTCAGTGAAACAGGGAATCAGCAGACCACGACAAAATATACACAATATAAAAATAAATAGCATTCCCCTTTCCAGTACTGGCCAGGAAAGTTCACACGGCTTTTGCAGCAGGAGCAAAGAATCCCTGACACTGTGTGCCGCAGGCTGGTGGAGACTGGCCTGGGCTCCCAGGAGCTGTGTGCAAGGCAGGAGAGTGAGGTACCCGAGTCCCAGCTGGGGAAAAGGGGTCACACGAAGGATACTGAACGGGGTTCAGCATTTCAATAACTTACTCAATATCCACACCCCCTGTTCCCAACCCCATCCCACCCTTTTCAAAAACACATGCAGGACAATCAGTTGGTTATTAGGCATTTCTACATAAAAGTTCAGTCAGTCCCCTGGTACACAGTGAGAGACAAAGACTAGCTGGGGGGACAGCCCCTCTAAATTTCTGGTTAGCAAAGGCCTACAAAGCAGAGACAGATAAACACCCAACCTGGAGACAAAGCTTGTGTCACAGCTTCATATGAGAGATGGGATGCAAAAATGTTCACTCAGGTTGTTTTCCTAAATGAAAAACAGGGCAAGGCTTGGTGTCCTAAGGCTCCATATTACAGAGAAAGTCCAACCCACCAAAAAAGGAAAAGTGGTTTCTTCTCATGCAGCAAATCTCAATCACATTCTTAGTTCCTAGACTGTGATGTGAGCCCAGGAATAAAAGCCTCTTCATGCTCAACCAAAATTCCCAGTATTCTCACTAGAATGTTGAACAGAAATCTATTAGCCAGGACACTGCATTCCAGAAACTCCCGAGGTGTAAGAGTCCTTGACTCACACACACACGGAACTGACTTCCTCACTGGAGGTCCATGCAGAATCTGGCAGGGGTGAATGGACTGACAGTCACAAGGCGGGTGGGGGCAGGTAGCAATAATGCTACAAAACTCTAAGCCTTTCATTTCTTTGAAAGCATTCTGACACTATGTAACTGCCCTTGCCTTGGGACTGCTGGGTTAAGACTTGCTGTGAAATTTCAGATTGGGGTTTAAGAGCAGTATATTATTTATAAATTTGAATTTCAAAAAGGGAAGAAAAATTCAACCAAGTCATATGGATTGAGAGCTTGTTTCTGACATCTGTGATGACTGTAACACTGGGATTTTGTGTGTTTTGGACAGCACTTAGCATCCTCTTTGACTCCAGTAGGAATTACCATAAATAATAATACAGCAGACAAATGCCATGGGGTAACGACACCTAATGGTCACGAGAAGCATTTTCAAGGTCTGAGCACTAGGCCACAGTGAATCGACACTGAAAGCTGGGGTCTGAGTGAACTAAGGTGCACACACACCCTACAGGTCTTCACGTTTTCAGAAGACGAGCATGACAGAGTTTTGCCTCTTGAGAGCAGTCTCACTTGGGCTCACTGAGAATAAAAGAATCGTGAAGCAGCAGCTCATGTGCACTGCCCGAACCCAAACGAACGTGATTAAGGAGAGGCGGAGTGGCTTTAATTTTACTTTTAGAAGGTAGGATGGAAGAAGTTATATGAACAAGAATCTGCACATTTTGCCCTTACTTACTCTTCACATGCATCTACCATAATAAATTTCCGCCAACAGCTACTTTTTAAAAGAACAGACTCCGAGGGAAAAAACAAACAACAAACCCAAACCAGAAACCTTCCAAAAAGCTTTACTTTTCTTTCTGGGTTGTTTATTTCTCCTGGGTCTTAGGGAAAAAAGATCCTAACTTATTAACAACTCTAATAAAGGCTAGCCAGGACTGTTCAATCCAACCAGTGTGAGTTTCCTCATTCCCCGTGGAGCCCAGCTACTCCCTCCTGGGGACTCCCAAGAGCCGGCCCACGGACACTGTGGGAGAGTCCTCCTAGCCCGACAGCAGATCATTTTGAGGACCTCCTCACGCACTACTTTCTAGTTTTAACATATCACACACCACCATCCCCTCATGGACAAGAGGGCAAATGCATGTGCATCTGCTTAAGACACGTGGGAAGAGAAGTGCCAGAGGAGAAAAACAGGAGAGAAGAAAAGGTCGTGCTTGGGGGCAGAGCGATCAGCCATCAAGCAGCTGAACGGTCACATGTGTTCTCTTGCAGCTCCTGACTGCTTGTAGCAGATCTGGGCTTCAAAGACCAGTAGAAGCTCAGGAGATAGCAGACAAGGGCTGTAATGCACGACTCAGTTCCCACATGGGACGCAACAAGGCTGCCGAGTCTGCTGTTGCCCTTGTTCCCAGTGTTAGATGATACAGTAGTAGTTCAGTCCTTGATACTGTTCTTCCTTAACATTTTCTCACTTCTCTACATTTGATTTCTTCCTATATTGTTCACAGCTTTTCTCTAGCAACAGGTAACGGGGGTAGGGGCTGGGAGAGCGAGGAGAAAAGGTTACTCACGCAGGGTGAAGGAGAAAGGGCACAGATCAGCCCAACCATTGCCTATGGTCCACTCCTACACACGCCCCAGGGCCATTCAGCACAAAGCAATACCTCCAACCTCAGCGCCAGGGGAACAGACCCTGTGGCCACTGTGCTCCGAGTCAGGCAGCAGCCAAAGGCCTGTCACTCACACTGACTTTCACGTGAGAAGAGAAAGGCTGTCAGTGGCAGAGCGCTCTGGGTCTAGACCAGCTCTAACTAGACCCGAGCCAGCTGTCAAGGCCAGGTGGTCTTTCTCTCCTCCCTGCTTCTACACAGACACAAAAACAGAAGGAGTAATGCATCGGCCATGTTAACTTACACTAGCTCAAGAGCTCAATCATCAGATCTGTTCTTCCTACAGGGACAGCGCGGACATCTTCACTCTTCCAAACCAGATCATGCCAGTGACAGCTTTCTAACCAGAATCAGGACCAAATGAGAACATAGCCTCAAAACTCATTCCACTTAAAAGCACACCAAATTTAAAACTGGAGTCTATTAGAGAAAAAGAATTTGTATTTTTGTGCACCGTATCTTAAAGGCTCCTGTGTTCCTACACAACTCTCAATCCTGCCTGAGCCATAAGCCACAACGCCAGGTCAATAAGCATTCCCTTATTTGTATGAATTTTCTTTACACTGGAGCTGGTGTCTTGTGTTCCATCTGTATAACATGGATATTTCCAATTTGTTTCTTATCCTAAATAGCATAGCATAGCAAACTTGAAACATGATAGTTCCACGTTTCATCAAGGATGCTGGAATTGGAGGGAAAGATTCTAACGGCCCCTCACAAGGCTGAATTTGTAAGAAACTAGAGCAGATTAATATTATATGGAGGCTTTTCTACTATCCCGAAGGCATGCTTAAAAATATGCTATTCTTTACAAAAATCTGTTAATTTCAGGGCATTTTCCCTTAGTTTTTTTTTTTTTTTTTCTTTGTAGGATATTCAAAAGTTTAAAACATAGGAGTCCTAACTTTGGTGGCATCTCAGCTAAAATCAAATACAGAATGCTAAACAAGGACAATCCAGTGTAATTCACTTCTAAAACTGTAAAAAAGTAATTTAATACTGTAAAATTGTTTCCTATCACAGATATGACAAATGATTTCCAAGAACTCATTCCTGAAAGCTATTTTAAATCACCATGACTTATTTTACTATGATTCACTTAAAATGAATTAAAACTATATATACTGAGATATTCCTAAATTCAAATTGTAAATCTATAGAATACATTTTTCCTATTCAAAACTGTGCAATTTCTTTATTGATACTAACATATACAAACCTGAGTAGTCACTTCCATAAAATGTGATTCGTGCCAGAAAGCTTTGTGTGATGTCTATCAGATCACAGTCCCGGCAGCAGGTCTGTGAAGAGGACGATTCATTTTATATTCTAATTAGCAAAACACTCTAGTGATCCCAATTCCTGATACTGGTTTACAACTATCTGGTAGGGCTGGTGGCAAATCACGAAGGGCACTGCTCTCTGAAATCCAGGCTTTGGGCCACTGGATGAGAGGGCAGCCTGTCTTCTAGGCTGGTTCTTCTGGTAGGCCGTGTGCGAGTGTTCTGCCTCCAGACTGAGAAACTCAACAATCGGGGCAGTGCAACGGTACCTTTCAGGCTGACTGGAAAGAAGGCCCTTAACGAACAAAGGACGGTTAACCACTGAGGAAACAGTGGCAATTTACTACGGTAAACTTTTCCTACCTTCTTCTCCAGCTCCCAAAAGTATTCAGTGTGACATGACTGTAAACAGATAAGGATCACTGCAGTGCTGCCTGCCCACCATGCTTAGGACTTCCATTTCTTCCACATCCCCACCCACCCTTCCCACTTATGTACAATACATTCACCACCAACAACAAAAATTATTTTTAAAAGGCAACATGAAAATTCTGTAAACTGGACCCAGCTCCAAAACACATTAATACTACAAGTAGTCCCTTCCCCAAATATATACCTGAGTTTAGCTGCTCATGAAAGTTTACAAGCACCACTCCATTCTTAAGTGTGACCCTCTCCCCCAAGTTTAAGATGATTTTCCCTGAACAAGAGTCTCAGGACTTAGAAAAGCCATCACTAATTTCAGTTCATTTGTTCTTGACCATCAGCCATACAAGAGATCCCCAACCAAGGACCTTTGCAAAGCTGGTGTTAGTCTAAGGAGTATGCTTCTAGGGCTCCGGGAACGGCTCCAGCTCTTGGACGGCATGATGGGATGCACTGTGAAGGGGTGTGGCAGGCTAACAGGAATAGAGGTGGGCAGGGATCGCTTCCCTAAATTTTCCATGTTCCAGTCTTCATGTGCAGCTTTCTGTTTCCTTGGGGTTTATTTCCTCCTTGGACTAGCTCTGAGAGAAGCAAATAAAGACAATTTAAACAAAATTAACAACTGTGTTGTTTAAAGTAATTCAATAAGCCAAAGAGCTGTACATGTTCCTCTCCATCTGAGAAAATGGCTTGGTTTTGTTTCAGCTGTCAGTTTACTTCCAGAGGGTGGGCTCTCAAGCTCCGGACCTCTGCATGCAAATCCCAACCTCATCACTCAGGTGCGATAGGACTCCCTGCACATTAGGGAACCATACTGATGTAGCTGATGACAATTACTTCACAGTGGTCAGGGAAGAGAGGAATGAGATAGTGCGTGGAGGGAGTCAGAACACAGTAATCGGCACAAAAGCAGCACTCGAAGGGAGCTATTTTTAAAAACCTGACTGCCTTGTCTCTCTCAGATGAAATAGATGGAAAAGGATAAAAAAATACAAAGCTATCATATCAAAATAAATGATAGTGGCCAGTTTGGAAACATGAGTCTTGAACAATCCCCAAACAGCTGGTTACCACAAGAAGAGAAACACATGGAAACAATACAGAAGCTACTTCGGTCTTCTCTTGATTTTTCCCACTGCTGAATCCACTGGTAGCACAGGGCCTGAGTGGCCCTTTTTACTTGGTTGCCAGTAGGACAGGACGCACTTTCCAGTTCAAGTTCCTCTATTAAAAGGACACCTTAGGGGCGCCTGGGTGGCTCAGTTGGTTGGGCGACTGCCTTTGGCTCGGGTCATGATCCTGGAGTCCCTGGATCGAGTCCGGCATCGGGCTCCCTGCTCGGCAGGGAGCCTGCTTCTCCCTCTGACCCTCCCCCCTCTCATGTGCTCTCTCTCTCATTCTGTCTCAAATAAATAAATAAAATCTTTAAAAAAAAAAAAAAAAAAGGACACCTTAAAAGATTTTCTCAGAATCACGATAAACTCACAATGAACTATTTCCTGCCACCTGGAAGAATGACAAAAGTTCTGGTTTTGGTAATTTTTACCTGATCAAGAGGAAGTGTTGGGGGCTTATGTGGTGGCAGCTCTTCCCGGGATGCTGCTGGTGCTGGGGTCTTTGGGAACGAGGACTGTGACTGGACTGGATGCATTTGCATCCTATAGCCACAAGAAAGAACAGTTAAGAATTAATGAAGATATATTAATTAGAAAGGAAAGAGATACTTTAATCATGAAAATCTCATGCAGATACTGCCGTAATTATCTAGGTAATCAAATTTGGAATCAATATTGGGACAAAGCGACATTTTGTGCTCCAGATGTGATGCAGTAAGTACATGACGCCGCCTAGGTAGTGTTCTTGACGTGTGTTTAACTGGACTTCAAACATGAGGGAACAAGGAGAAGAATCAAAATCTGGGACATCGTACATGGGAACTAGCCTCGAATCTTTGAAAAACAAAATGAAACAAAACGATGATAGAACACATGTAAATTAAGAGACTAGACAGAGCAACCAAATGTAAATACATTACCCTTACATGGATCCTGGATGGAAAAAAAAAATAAGATAAAACAAAAAAACACAGCTATAAAAGACATTTTGGGGACAACTGGAGAAATTAAATAAGGACTCTATATTAAACACTATTAGTGTTATTTTCCCTGGGTGGAATAATAATTTGAGATTGTGCTCCAGGAGAACGTCGTTATTCCTAGCAGATGCATGCAGTCATGAAGTCTGCAACTTACTTCCCAATGGTTTAAAAGAAAAGACAAAGAAACAAAACATAAACATATTTAGTGAGGTCTAAAAAAATATGTCAAAATGTTAAATGGGGAAGAGGTTTTGGAGATACGGTTTTAGGCCGGCACTGAAGAGGGGCACATTAGTTTTTAAGTTGGATGGTACTGGTTTTATGATAAGGCTTCATAACTTTAATGTAAACAACTTTATTTAACCATCTTTTATGTATTATTAATTTGAAAATCTCCTGGATCACAGATCACCTCACTGAGTCTTAAAAACTCCACCATTTGCAAGAATTCTCATGGGGACTGTATTTGACTTGTTTTAATTCTAGATGAACCTGTTTCTTTATTCAGTGTTAAGGGAAGAAATGAGAGGTAAGGGATAAAACCTGAACATTACATATGATCTCCCACAACCTCAGGGTTTGAGAGAGACCTATTTTACCTTGATCAGAATATCTGAACTTATTAGCAGCAATGCTGACATCTCTGCCTATGGCTCTCAAGTTTCCAGTCTCAAAATCTAACTAAACACTCATTTAAATGCTAATTCACTTTCATGAGGGAAGAAAATGCCGAAGATAAAATTGGACTCTAAGGCTGAAACATTTCCATTAAGTCTCCAATTATCAATGATTCCCATGCCTTCCTTGGACCTAGACCACTAAAGGTTATCACCTTCATTTCTAAGGCCATTTTTCTTTCTAAAACTAACATCTATTCTTTTCTCAGAAAAAAAGAAACAAAAACCAAGGAAACCATCTAATGTAATCTTACCCTAATGGTCTGTACATTTCCTGGAAAGGTCCCCTTATTCCACTTCCAGTACCAATTTGTTCCATCATTACAGCCTGAAAGTGACCCAGGCCCTCTTCTTGGCAACGATAAATGGGGCCCTCCTGAGAGAGGCCGTTGGGCTGGGCAGCCACTGGATGGTGAGGTGGGTGAGCAGCCACGGGGGAAGAGTAGGCCCTGGGCTGGAAATGACTGGTTGGCCGCTGAGGTGTGTAAGGAGGCCCTGTCTGTAGCATCACACCATGGGGCTGGAAAGTAGATGAACCAAATCCCATCCCTGAACTCAGAGGTGGAGGAGGAGTTCCATAAAGATACTCGCTGGCTGACAATGAGCTCTGCCGCTTGGTAGCTGCATTATGGTTGTCCAGGTCTAAAAATTCTTTGGGACTCTCTGGCCTCTCCATAGATTCATCCAGCTTTTCTTCCTCTGGACCAGGATTCTGTCCATCAGCTGAGACGACTTTAGCAGCCACTGCATCCACTTGGGTTGGGGAATTTAAGGCAGCATTCAGTGTCTCACAGCCTTGCAGATTAGCCAAGGTGCTCTTATCTGAGAAGAGGGGCCTTGGTGGGGGCGGTGGATTAGGTGGGAGCCCACTTGGGCTTCCCGGGGGATGAAGATGTCTCTGCCAGTCAGAAAAGCCCTGTGGACATGGATAATAAGGAGTTCGCTGATAGTGATGATATGAAGGCTGAGGTGGTGACTGGTAGGAATACCTCATTCCTTGGTGGGGGCGATACCGGGGAAAGACTCCAGAATGAGGGTTGTTAGATTGAAAGCCCCTAGGGGGGAAATGCTGAGGATGGGATACTGAGGGTTTACTTCCCATCACAGGGCCCAAACCTTGCAGGCCTGGACTGATGTGGTAATGTGTAGCTGAATTTGGGTATTCCAGCCCAGGCATGTACAAGGGGGAAAACTGGCTTACAGTGCCTCCCATCAGATTGGGGTCCGCGTTGGGAGGTGTAGCTGGGTTCTGTCTTGTACACGGCATGGCTTCCTGTAGCGTTTTGCCTCTGGGGCAGAGTGGCTTTTCTGAACCACTACCACCAAGGCCCTTCCCCTCTGATCCACAAGGGGATGCTTCAACAATTACTCCATTTTCCGGTAGAGCCCCTCTATCTGCCAGAGTGGAGAGGTCTCGCATACAACCTTGGGTGGCTGGGCTGGTATAGGTGCTCTCCAGGGGCCAGGTATTTTTGCTCTTTGTTGCTTTACAGTTGTCTCCAGATTCTGAGGAGTCGCTTTTGAGCTCTGGGCCCTCTGTTTCTCTTTCTTGTGGTGAGCTCTGCCTGGTACAGTCGGTCTGCAATGGAGGTGTAGGGTGAGGTAGCTGTTTGAGGTACACCCCCTCTGAAGCACCAATGTTTGGTGGTTTCTCCTCAAGCCCAGGCAAGGGATCTGCTGTAAGAAAAATGTAGAACAATATAGTAATTCAGTAGCTGACATGACAATACCGATGGGGATGATAGAAAAGAACATGAAAGCAGTCAGATAGGGACAGGTGGGATTGAGATGGATATGTGGCCATTCAAGCTTCAGCTAAAAATTTGAGACTCCCTGAAAGGATTCATGATGCTGAGTCCCTTGTAAACCCCTCCTTATAGACTAAGAGGTAAGACCTAGCACCTCTAGAGCTACTCATAAAGTCTGCCAAAGAATGGAGATGTCCCTGCCTCTCTCTTGCTGTGCTGTCACAGAGTAGTCAGTGTGCAATAATTCAGGCAGATGCATGTCATATATGGAGATACAATAAGAAGGACCAGGACACAATGGATCTGTATCAAGAGGGCTGCATCCCTGACGTCTGCCCCCTTAGAATATAAGTTCCATAGCAGCACAGACTCTGTTTTCTTCCCCACCACTCTTAGTACTTGTACACAACAGGGACTCAATCAAGATTTCTTCAAAACAAGATGCCTACAGGATAAAACTCAAAAGGCATATTTAACATATTACAGAAACTTACTATACCCAAATAAATTAATTTACTAGACTCAAATGCTTAATTACAAACTCAGGATTCTTGACCTTGCTGTTATGTCAGACCAGAAATATGGTCTTATTATTATATATACAACAGAGTTGTTGCTCAGGTGTGATCTAAATACAATTCTGGTAACAGATCTTAAAGACAAGATTAAGGACTCATACGTAACGACTTTTAAAGTCCTACTAAAATCTCAGTCAACTAATGAACTAGTGTTGGTTGAAAAATCAAAGGTAGAAGCTATACAACAAAATTTAAATCTACACTTCTCATTATTTTGTCAACATAAAACATGGAAACTAAAAAAGAGGCTTATCCATAGTTTCATCAGAGGGACTCTCCTTCTAAAGTTTGAATTCCGGACCCCATTTGAAATCAGTATTAAGACAATTCTGCTAGAGCTGGTGCTCACAAAGCAGGCCTTCCCTCAAAAAGAAACACTTTCAAAAAGTAAGTCTGAGGGGCACCTGGGTGGCTCAGTCAGTGAAGCGTCTGCCTTCAGCTCAGGTCATAATCCCAGGGTCCTGGGATCGAGTCCCATATTTGGTTCCCTGCTCTGCAGGGAGCCTGCTTCTCCCTCTGCCCCTCACCCCACTCATTCTCTCTCTCTCAAATGAATAAATTAAAAAAAAGTCTGAGTTGGGGAAGATGGCAGAGGAGGAGGATCCTAAATCTCATCTCATGGATACAACTAGATAACTAGGTAACACCACATCAGTATAAATAACCCAGAAAACGACTTAAAGACTGGCAGAACAGACTCTCCATAGCTAAATGTAGAGCAGAGGCCACATCACAGAGGGTGGGAAGGACAAAGAGATTGTCAGGAGCCAAGTGGATCCTCGGGATTGTCCGCAGGAGGGAGGGATGCAGCAGAACAGAGAAGGGAGCAGAGCAGATTCCCAAGCCAGGAACCCCAGGAAGAGGGAAGACCAATCCCTGTTAACATTCAGCTTTGAAAACCAGAGGGGCCCAAGAATATGGGGGGGCTTATTACCATCTGAACTTTAAAATTCAGTGGGCTCAGCTCTGGGAGAGCCAGGAGGGTAGAGTGCCTGCCCTTAAAGAGAGTAAAACAAACAGCCCCACTGAGATTGAGCAGAGAAGCAGCAGTGTGAAAAATACCTGGCATATATGGAAAGAAGATTTATTTACTAATGAGCATATACTGGAGAGGCAGGAATCTTTGGAAGACCACTCTAAGAACAAAAGAACTAGCAGGCACCAATTTCCTTCCCACCTCCCAGCCGAGATAGACGGACACCTGCGGGAACCAGTGCAGAGCCAACATTCGTTACACAGTGAACAGTGTACTCCTGGTGTACTCCTGCATAAACATCCCCTCCATCCAAGCCCGGTCAGCTGCAGTCCCCTCCTGCAGTGGACTGGTGCAGAGTTACTGGCACTCCATGGGCCCTGTTCCCGCATTTTCCCCGTTGATCTGGCCCCTCCAATATGCCCTTGGCTGGAGCCCATCCAAAGTGGTGCCACAAGCCCGGTGAGGTGCAAGCAGCCAGGACAAGGACAAGCACCACTCCAAAGAGATTGCTGCTCTGGAGAGAGGGGAAGATAACCACACATACCAGTCCCACTGAGGTCCCCGCACTGGGCTGGAGGCAGATAGCTATTCTGATTGAAGGCCATCCCCACCAATGAAAGCTTCTTGGGAGGACAACACAGGAAAGTGCCCAGCAGTTTGGTGCTATCTCACCTCTGGCAAACGCATGGTCTGACTCAACTCAAGCCCAAGGTGGCCTCAGACTGGCCCACTAACAACACAGGGACCAAACCCTGCCCACAACAGGCAAACAGAGCCATTGCAGATGACTGAATTGAAGGCAAAAGCAGCTCAGCCACAACAGAAGGGTGCACGCAACACACATAGGAGACACCCCTGCAGTGCCAGGTTCTGAACAGGGGACACTGCACCACAGGGCATTATAGGACCTCTTCTTCACAAGGCCACTACTTTCAAGAGCAGGAGATGTAGCTGACTTTCCTAATGCATAGAAACAGAGACAAAATGAAGAGACGAGGAGTATGTCCCAAAGGAAAGATCAGGACAAAATCACAGCAAGAGAGCTAAATGAAATGGAAATAAGTAATATGCCCGATAGAAAATTTATAGTAACGGTCACAGAAATACTCACTGGACCTGACAAAGGAGTGGAGGACCTCAGTGAGACCCTCAACAAAGACAGAAAACAAAAAAGAACCAATCAGAGATAAAGAACACAATAACTGAAATTAAAAATATACTACAGGGGATTAATAGTAGACCAGAGGAAGAAGAAAGAATCAGCAACTTGGAAGACAGAATAATGGAAAGTAATTAAACTGAACAAGTGAAAAAAAAAAAAAATGAAAACAGAGAACTCAGTGGCACCATCGAGTTTAATAACAATGACATTATATGGATCGCAGACGAGAGAGAAAAGGGGGAGGAAAATTTATTTTAAGAAATAATAGCTGAAAACTTCCTGAATCTGGGAAGGAAACAGAAATCCAGATCTAGGAGGCACAGAGATGCCCCAACAAAATCAACCCAAGGAGGTCAACATGAAGATATACAGGAATTAAAAAAAAAAAAAAATGTAGTGAGAAAGAGAATTTTTAAAGTAAGAAAGACAAAAGAAAATATTAACATAAAAGAGAAACCCTGTAAGACCATAAGCTCATTTTTCAGCAGAAACTTTACAGGCTAGAAGGGAGTGAGAGGATATATTCAAAGTGCTGAAAGAAAAAACACCAGCAGCCAAGAATTCTTTATCCAGCAGGGATATCATTCAGACTAGAAGGAGAGTTTCCCAGACAAACAGTTAAAGGAATTTAACACCACTACACCAGGCCTATGAGAAATGTTAAAGGAGACTCTGAGTGGACAGGAAAGACCATAAGCAGGACTAAGAAAAGTAAGAAGCACAAAAGCAGTAAAATTAAGTATATCTATAAAAATCAGTCAAGTGATTCACAAAATAAAAGGATATGAAGTATGATACCATATGCCTAAAACCTGGGGGGGTTGGGGAGGCATGGTGGGAGTAAAGAATGGGTTCAAACTTAAATGACCATCAATTTAATATAGACTGCTATATGTAAAAGATGGTTTGTGTGTGTGTGTGTGTGTGTGTGTACACACCTAATGGTTACCACAGATCAAAAACCAGTAATTGATATGCAAATACAGAGAAAGAAATCCAAGTATATCACTAGAGAAAGTCAGCAAACCATGAAAGAAGACAGCAAGAGAAGAAAGAACAGAGAACTACAAAAACATCCATAAAACAAGTAACAAAATGGCAGTATGTACATACCTATCAATAATTACTCTGACTGTAAATGGACTAAATGTCCCAATCAAAAGACATAAGGAGACAGACTGGACTTAAAAAAAAAAAAAAAAAAAAAAGACCCTTCTATATGCTGCCTACAAAAGAGACTCATTTCAGACCGAAAAACACATGCAGACTGAAAGTGAAGGGATGGAGAAGCATTTGTCATGCAAATGGATGTCAAAAGAAACCTGAGGTAACAATATTTAAATCAGACAAAACAGACTTTAAACAAAGACTATAACAAGAGACAAAGAAGGACACTACAAAATCATAAAGGTAAGACTGAACAAGAAGATACAGCAATTGTAAATATTTATGCACCCAACATGGGAACACCCAAATACATAAAGCAGCTAATAACAAACATAAAGGAAGTAACTGATAGGAATACAATAAGAGTAGGGAACTTTCACAACCCACTTATAATCAATGGACAGATCATCCAAACAGAAAATCAACAAGGAAGCAGTGGTTTTTGTTTTGTATTGTTTTTTAGAGCGGGGGAGAGGCAGACGGAGAGAGAATCTTGGGTTGTTTTTTTTTTTTTAAAGATTTTATTTATTTATTTGAGAGAGAACACAAACAAATGGGGGAGGGGCTGAGGGACAGAGAGAAGCAGAGCCCTTGATGAGCGTTGAGCCTGATGCAGGGCTTGGTCCCAGGAACCCACAATCACGACCTGAGTCAGACGCTTAACTGACTGAGCCACCCAGGTGTTCCAGGGAGAGAGAGAATCTTAAGAAGGCTCCACACCCAGCGGGAAGCCTGACAGCAGGCTCAATCTCACGACATGAGCCAAAATCAAGAGTCGGATGCTTAACTGATGGGGCCACCCAGGTGTCCGGTCAGTGGCTTTTTGGAAGGCAGCTATGCTCACCACTATACCACCAACGCCGGTCAGTGGCTTTTTGAATGACACACTTGACCACCTGGATCTAACAGATATATTCTAAACATTCCATCCTAAAACATCAAAATACATTTATCTTTCAAGTGCATATGGAACACTCTCCAGAATAGATCACATGGTAGGCCAAAAAACAAATCTCAACAAGTTTGAAAAGACTGAATTCATACCA